TTTACCTCCCCAGCCTTGACCTCAAGTGCCAGCCCTCTGACTAGAAAGCCTTTTCTGTTTTCCCTCTGTTCTCACGTTGGCTCTTTGCTGTGTGCGCTCAACACTCAGCTCAGGTGATCCTTCAAGATGGAGTAAATTTTTGTCGTCTTCCTCTTTTATGTTCTCACAGAATCTGTGAGCATTTAACACAACGTCGTGTTGCCACCTGTGTTTTTGTTTTCCCCGTTGGTCTATGAGCTCAGTGAGGGCCAGAAGCTGTGCTTGCTCTTTAACCTCCCTCAGAGCCCGACAGTTAGTGGCTGTTTAGTGACTGTTCTGTGCATGAGTGTATTGTTTCAGTATTTGAAAGTGGAAACAAAGTAATGGTAGAAAATCGGCTGCCAGGAGACATGACAAAGTGGCATTTATATGGGTAAATTTGTAACATTCCCATGGTTTTGGCTTCAGTCGTGTGGGCCTGGAAAATTAATTTTACGTATAAGCCGAGAGCGTATCGGCCCCTGGGGGGTGATTTCACACTCACCATGCTGCCCTAGACCAGAACATTCATAGGGAAGGAGTGCCGGGTGCATAACTAAAAAGCTATATTGGAAGTTAAATTATAACAAAGATATTGTCTACATTCTATGAAATCAGAGTTGGGAATATGGTTAATTTGTAAACTGCTTTAAGGGGGATTTGAAGTTCTCTGATCTTCCTCAGGTGAGGGAAAGCTAGTGAGCTTTTTAAGGGAACTGTTTACATGTGTCCTTGGGGAAACCTTTTGTTCAGTTTTTTATGCTGACCAGTGCTCCCTAAACGCATGATGGGTAATGTATTTTAAACCGTGTGCACGGGTGTGCATATGTCTGCACTGACAGTTAGGTCCAGCACTGGAGGGCAGGCGATTAGTGAAGTGGATCTAAACTTCATCTGGAAGAATAAACAGGTGAAAGTTCTCAAAAGAAAGACCCACAGTCTTTTCCTTCCTACTGGGATAAACCCATTTCTTCCTAAACACTTCTGACACATCTGGACACCAAATGAGGTGTTTTCCTCCACAATAAGGGATTCTCTTGGACACCAGCTGGGTGTCCTCCAGTTTAAGTACTTCCTATGTTGTCTTCCTGGAGATAGTGTAAGATACCATGGGTTAAGGGCTTAGCCTCCAAGACCTCCGCCCGCACCCCTCCACACACTCAAATGCTAGTCACAAACTGTCCCCTGTGCTTCTGCTGTTGGTCTGTAGGCTGTAGATTGGAGGTTCTCTGCCAGAGACCAATATGTATATTTTCTATTATCTTACAAGCACCCAAGGAGAACTTTATAAAGTGTAATGGGAGATGAGTCCTGTATTTTATAGCATTATAAAGCTTGATATTTTTTAAACGTGGGAAACTTCCTATAAAAGGTGGGTATTTGACCCATTGCCTCCTTTACTCACTGAGACTTTGTTACAGTGATTGTAAAAATAGAAAAAAGCCTAAAACAATGACAGAGAATGGCAGCAATGTCATTAAGGGACAACAGAATGTAACAGTTTTTCAGAAGATACGGTAGGTGGATAAGTTTTGCAAAAACCAACCAACAAATAAACAAAAAACAAAACACCAATGTGAACAGAGCTGGTTGACCTGGAATAACCCTGGAAAATGACTATCTGTGTGGAAGATCTGGTATGATCCTGGAACATGAGTGGCCATATGGGGAAAAACAGGAATTGAAGGTCAGCGCATAGGGACCAGTTCATCCCTATGTAACCAAGTAACCAAGATGCCTCCCTTATGCCCATTCCAGTCCATGCTCAGGCAGAGACCAGAAATTTAATTTACTGGAAAAAGTGACTGGAAAAGAAGAAAATTTAAGAAGATGTGACCTAGTAGAGAGTAAGCGTGAGACACAGGACAGAAAAGAAGGAGACTGATTAAAAGTCTGCTTTGGAAAGCAGCCTGTGACTAGCACCCACCCTCGCCCACAGTGCCTCCCTCCTTTCCTGCCTATAAAACTTTCTGTTGAGGTTTGAGTGCCAGCTCTTTTGTTCTGGACAATTGCAAACCATGTTTCTGTAAGTGGGCATGTCAACAAAGCTACCACAAGCTTTCTTCTAGTTAATGTATAGGATATCTTTTTCTAGATCTTAAGTCCTTTCTTTGTTTCAGAAATGTCTTATAAACAGCACAATTACATTTTGTTACCCAATCTGTCTCTGTCTTTTAACTGGAACTTTTAGAACCTTAAAAATACAAATGGTTTAAATTAACTTGTCCCAGATTTGGCAGGTGGGTACCCCCTTCTCCTGTGTCCTTTGGACATATCCCTTTTGATATGTTCCTCCTTTGTGGAAAAGCCAGGCATTCTAAGCACATCTTGTACTTTCTCTGCCAGGCCCTGAGATAAGCCATTTTACCCCCAAAGATTCCTGGTTCTTTTTAATAGAGAACGGTATGTAGAAATGCTAGATTAATTATATTTGTAGACGTCTGAAATCTGCCCAGAGATATTTGTCGAATTACTATCTGTAATAGACTGTAAAAAATACAAACTATAGGGGCGCCTAGGTGGCTCGGTCGGGTCAGTGTCCAACTTTTGATTTTGGCTCAGGTCATATCTCATGGTCTGTGGGATTGATCCCCACCTTGGGCTCCACTCTGACTTTGCAGAGCCTGCATGGGATTCTCTCTCCCCCTTCTCTCTAACCCTCCCCTCCTTTCTCTCAAAATAAGTAAATAAACTTTTAAAAAATTAAACACAACTATAGTAGTTATCTTTGGGTGGTAAAATTACAGATGCTTACCTGTACATTCACTGCTATGCTGGGCATCATTGTGAAACTGAAAACATGTTCCTTTACTCATGTAGCTTGCAATTTGGTTAAAAAAGGCGCTGATTACATGAAAAATAATCAGTGAGCAATGCAACACTACATAAAATGAGTTTTATGGTGTGGTATATTGAGAGAGTGAGCAGTAGGGCTGGCAACTTGGAGGGATTATACTAAAACTTGATTCCAGCAAGGTGTTGGAGCATGGTTAAAGCTTGAGTTGGAAAGTTGGAGCTAAGTGGGACACAGCATGAGTAGAGGTACCATAGGACCTGAGGGTGTAAGAATCATTGGAGTGGGTTCATTTACATACAATAAAACAATATTGTTGGAGGCTCTTAAAATAATGGCGCAGAAACCTCATACACTTTAGAGCAGGACAGACTACAGTGCTCTGTGTGTTTATAAAAAGGCTTCCAAGGGTTCAGATGGTCTAGGACACACAGCAGGTACTCAGTAAATGGTAGCTCCTGTCATTTTTATTAGTACTAATGAAACTAACAGGAAGTTAAGCTTGACAGAATAGTTTGATAGGGAACCATTGTTGTCTTCTGAAAGAGAGTAATAACATACATGTTCGTCGTCATTTTTTTAGTGTTTTATGTAAGGTTAAAAAGAGGAGCGGAAGAAAAACATTTTAAGTCTCAGTAAGTATGTTCCACAGAGTGATGAGCCGTTTGGGAGGAGAAACTGTCCTGTTATTCTTATTTCCTGTGATTAGCACATTGTGTGAGGCTGAGGGGTGGTGAGTTGGATCTGGGATCTATAGTTAACCCAATGAACTGGTAAAAAAAAAAAAAACAAAAAACCAAGATTGTTTAGTTTAGTCCTGAAGCATAACTGTGAATGGTAGCGTTGCCTGGACAAGGCTGATTCATTGGGCAAAATGTGAGATTGAAAGATTGAAGAATCTGGTTTGAATCAGATGATAGTTCCTTGGACATGTGGAATTAGAGGATAGTAAAAGGAGAATGTCATTTTAAAAAGTTGGGATTGCTGTCATTTACTCAGTGCCTTCTCTACACTGGGTGTACTGGATGTTACCCGTTAGATGGAGCGAGTCAGTGGCTTGCCCACAGGCACACAAGTAGTAAGTGTTGGAGCTGGGATATGAGCTGAGCACTTAAAAAAGCCAGCCCCAATGTCACCTCCTCCTTCCAGAAAGCCTTGCCTAGAACCTCCCATCGTACCCACACTCTCTCTCACCCAGGCTAGCTGGAGGACCCTTGTGTTTTCATGGGACGTCCAGTTTGTGGCTGCTGTTGGGCATTTACTTAAGGCATTATAACTACAGTGTACCTTTGGAAGTTAGGGACCTGGCATTCCCTGATGCAGTTGCTCCTTCCGTAACAGGTGTAAGCGCCGTGATGTGGAGAATCACAGGGCAGCCCTGGTATACCAGAGGGACTCACTCCCCGGGAGTGCAGCCCCAGCACTTGAATGTCAGCTACTGGGCCAAAGTCTCAGGGGTCTGGACACGTGCCCTTGGCAGACGTAAACGTTCTTTACATCTATTTTTTATGTTCCGTCTAGTGCCCAACTTCTAATTCAGCTTGGAGTTGTATCTAACACAGCAACTGGTGCATGTTTATATTTAAGTAATTCATTCATAATATCTGTAAACCATAGGTCCTCTGCTGTACCACTTTGAAAATTTGGCAAACGAACTTTCCATAGAATTGAGCTATGAAGATATAAAAAACGTTGTTCTGCAGTATGGATTCCAGGTGGAGGTAAGGCTGGAATGAAGTACGGCCACGGTTTCACTTCCAAAGCTTTAATCTTAGGACAGTTACAGGCTTTCACCTCTTCACCTGTGTTTTCATCCCTGAAGTGAAAATAATACACACGCAGCTTTTAGAATGATAAAGATTTGGCATAATGTATGTGTAAGGAGAAAACGATAATCCTCAATGTGATCAGTCACCTTTCCGTAGTACATGGTAGCTGACCATGGTCCTGGCGTCAGCTCCTGTAGACTCACAGATACCAAGTACGCTAGGGTCTGGACCAGCAGAGGTGGGAGGACAGGGGGTATCGTTCACGATATGTACTTTTGTAGTCTTCGTTTCTTATGTGGGATTGTAAGATTGTATGATACTTTGACTTATGTTTTTTTTTTTTTTTTT